ATAGTAGGTTCCTCCATTTGGAATAATTCCAAAATCAGTAGATTGTGACTATTGATTACACACACATTTTCAACAACAATGCTTGGCTAAGCCGTGGCACTTAACTGATGCTCATGTGGAATTATGAGGCCTTGTGTGTTCCAGAAACCATACACCGTACTATTTCATCACCATCCGTATAGGTATGCAGTGTACCCCACAATCTGACACTATAATACAGTTGGAATGTGGCAGCAAATATTCTGTGATTCCAAGTAACAATATTTTCATGTGGACTGTATTTTGCCTGGGTTGGTATGTAGATTGTACAAGAAAAAACAGCTACCATAGGAAAAAAAAAAATACAACTAGTTATAGGTAACATTTACATACAATAGACATGTATCATCGAGCACATATTGGGTGTCATTCAATAAATGGTTTAGGTTCACTAGTTGACATTTTGTCTAGTTACATCAACATTTACTAGTGTTATCAGTTGGTTGACTTTATTAACTGACATGCAGATAGACATCACTCACTTACCTGACCATGACTTCTTAGTCTAAGATACTTTGACCTTGTTACACCCCAGCATACATCCCTATACCTCCTTTTTTTTTTTTGTGAACTCCCACGTGGTCCATTTTCCAGAATCTGCTCAGAGACGCTATGCAGCTTACCTTGGTGAACGCCTACAGACAAAATTCTAAATTCTGATACACTAGGCTGTGGAATTAGAGGAAATCAAAATTGGTCTCATACAGCACAGACATTTTGCAGATTACATTTATGGAAGTAGCTTGCGATGTATACTAAAATGATCATCTTAAACAGTACTAAAGCCTCTCTGGTATCAGAGCTGCGCTAATTAAAGTGCAAGCTCTCACCACCAGGCTAAGTTGCCATTTTGACTATGATAGCTCCTTTACGGTCCATTTCCAATGACCACAGTACATGTCAGCCCCAATATATAGTTTAAAAAACAAAGAAAAAAAGTTACTTGCGCTCTCTCCTTAATCCCTATGTGTATTTAGACAAATGGAGGTCATTTAGTTACTCCAATAGCCATTGGAGGGAATGTCTGCCTGCCAACGTCAAGGCAGACCCCCCTAAGCGGGTCCTACACTGACCCTTCACCTTGCTTCCTTGAGCTGCTGGCAAAGATATCTTCACTGAGACAGACAGGGGTATTTTTTATATACACCCCTATATACTTATTAACCCTTAATAGGGAACACATGGGATGGGCGGCTGCATTGTATTAAAGCTGTGTGATACAAAAAGTCAATACAAATACAAAAAGTTTTATCTGTATCATGAATTAAAAACGAGAGTAATTTTAACCCCTAGGTTTTTCTTTAAAGTATATCAGACTAGAACATTTCTTTAATACATTCAAAAACCCAGAATGACCTTCAGGTTCTTGGTCACCTCTCTTACCAAGGCCCTTCTTCCCCGATCGCTCAGTTTGGTTGGACTGCCAGCTCAAGGAAGAGTCTTGATTGTTCCAAATGACTTCCATTTAAGAATTTTGTAGGCCTGTTTGCTCTTTGGAACCTGCAATGTCAAAATTGTTAGGTAGGCTTATGCAGGCTTTTGCCTTGACACAATCCTGTCTTTGAGCTCGTCAAATAATCCCTTTGAACTCATGGCTTTAATAGTCAGGTGTGTGCCTTTCCAAACCATATCCAGGCAAATGAATTTGCCACAAGTGGTCTCCAATCAAAGTGCAAAAACATCTTAAAGGACCACTATAGTGCCAGGAAAACATACTCGTTTTCCTGGCACTATAGTGGCCTGATGGTGCACCCACCCTCAGGGTCCCCCTCCCGCCAGGCTGGATGGAGAGGAAGGGGTTAAACTTACCTCTTTCTCCAGCGCCGGGCAGGGAGCTCGCCTTCTCCTCTCCTCCCTCTTCTCCTCCTCTTCGGCTGAATGCACATGCGCGGCAGGAGCCGCGCGCATTCAGCCAGTCCATAGGAAAGCATTCACAATGCTTTCCTATGGACGCTGGCATCTTCTCACTGTGATTTTCACAGTGAGAAACACGGAAGCCCTCTAGTGGCTTGAATGAGACATCCACTAGAGGCTGGATTAACCCTAACATAAACATAGCAGTTTCTCTGAAACTGCTATGTTTACAGAAAAAAGGGTTAACCCTAGATGGACCAGGCACCCAGACCACCTCATTAAGCTGAAGTGGTCTGGGTGCCTATAGTGGTCCTTTAAAGATGACAAAGCTGGTACTTCTTGGTACATCTGAGCTAAATTTCAAAATAACAAGTTTTCAAGTGTGATATTTCATTTTTGTTTTTATTATCTTTGTAAAAAAAAATTGGAAATCTAGTTTTTGTTTTGTCATTATGGGTTATAGTGGAGACTGATGTAGAAAAAAAAATATTTAAACTGTTGTAGCACAAGGTTGTAACCTAGAAAACATGTCACCCATCCCTACCCCCAAATGAGTAATTCGTAAAGATAAAATCTTTATGAAGTACTCACACTGACTGTGATGGAATTTTAGTAAAATTCAAACCCAGTAAAAAGATATACTAACTCAAAGTTCGGGCTACATTATTTTAGTATTTTTCCTCCATTTGACAAGCTTGACAAAAAGGTGGAACTAAGCCTTTTCAAAGCTTGTCAAACTCCCAGTCGTTACTGGTGACAACTAAGAGGAAAAGGCTGTGTCTAAGGAGGATACTCTGATCTTGCAGAATACTCCACAGTGATCAGCGTTGAACTCTCGCATATGTGCATATGTGCGAGAGTACAGCTCTGTCGTCAGCTCCTTGCGTTTAAACACCAAGAGCTAAATATGACTAGAAAAGCATGGCAGCACCTTTAAGGGACAAATACAGGCAAGTATAGCTCATCTTCCCCTGCATAGGTGGGCCATAGCTCCTGCACACCTAGCAGCCATGTCACAGTTGGGTGTCTTTGCAAATAATGCAAAGACTACAGATGTGACGGAGCAGATTTAAGGTGTCTGAATACTTTCTGAATTGACTGAATGTGTTATTATTATTATTATTATTATTATTATTATTAGCATTAATATAGTGCCAACATATTCAGTAGTGTTTTACAATTATAGAATGGAGATATTTTACATGAAATAATGGACCTACACAAATAATGTTAACAGCCACAAGACCTGAAGAAGACTATGTTCAAACAAGCATACAAGCTAGGAATTAAACACAAGTATTTTTCTTGTAATTCTTTTTTGTTGTTGTTGAAGGCTTCAGAAAATTACAGTCACAGTAGAGATGGACATTACAAATCCGGTGCCCAAGTAAATTTTTTTGATTGTATTTTACTGTGCCTCTCTAAGCTGTGCCTTTTTCCATTTATTCCAAGACTTTGCATATTTTAATCTGAAATCCCTTATCATTGCTGATGTCATTGGTTAAGCTTCTTGTCTGCTTTCAATGAGCCTTTGACACAGTTTTAAACATATTTTCAGATGGACAAAATGTGCCTTTGCTGTGTACATGAGAATACTTCAGTAAATAATGTATTCGGTGGAAGCTAACGTAGTTCGAAATGGTTTGCATAAGGTCAGGGTCAAAGGCGACTAGGAAGGCATGCATTAGTTTTCTGGAGCCTAACAGGTATACAGGTGTGTGTGCTAAAATGTGCTAAACTCAAGGTACACTTCCAGTGAAGTAGATGGATTTTGCCTGGGTTGGTATGTAGATTGTACAACTAGTTATAGGTAGCATTTACATACAATAGACATGTATCATCGAGCACATATTGGGTGTCATTCAATAAATGGCTTAGATTCACTAGTTGACATTTTGTCTAGTTACATCAACATTTACTAGTGTTATCAGTTGGTTGACTTTATTAACTGACATGCAGATAGACATCACTCACTTACCTGACCATGACTTCTTAGTCTAAGATACTTGGACCTTGTTACACCCCAGCATACATCCTTATACCTCCTTTTTTTTTTTTTTGTGAACTCCCACGTGGTCCATTTTCCAGAATCTGTTCAGAGACGCTATGCAGCTCACCTTGGTGAACGCCTACAGACAAAATTCTAAATTCTGATACACTAGGCTGTGGAATTAGAGGAAATCAAAATTGGTCTCATACAGCACAGACATTTTGCAGATTACATTTATGGAAGTAGCTTGCGATGAATACTAAAATGATCATCTTAAACAGTACTAAAGCCTCTCTGTGTCAGAGCTGCGCTAATTAAAGTGCAAGCTCTCACCACCAGGCTAAGTTGCCATTTTGACTATGATAGCTCCTTTACGGTCCATTTTGCAGTAGCTTTTCATGGCAATGCCAGCTTACGTCATTAGATAACAATGTATACTATGGGATGTCGTTATAAACTGCTACACACTAAAAGGTGTTATCTGATAAAAAATTTTCAATTTTCCTTTCCTTATAACCTCTAGTGTAGTAATGGTTATATTTCCCTCTCTGCCCTTGTCTTCATTTATATATTTTTTTTTTTTCTTCCTTGTGCCAGATCGTAATACGTGGGTGCCTCTGTTTTGTTATCTTTTGTCCGTGAAATCTGCGGACTTAGCAACTGATATAGAGCTTGGCCTAAACCCTTAAGCACGTAGGCAATTGTTCAATTTCTAAACCATAGGTTGCTTTAACCCTTGCATGACAACAGCACTTTGTACTTGTACGATACAGTGTCTGCTGACGTTTTCTGTATAATTCTACTAAATGTTTGGCTTTATTATAGTATATTTTTACATTTCAGATTCCCAGATGTGACTTTGCAATTGGCTATTCTCCCTTACGATTAAAATTAATTTATATTTGAAAGGTATTTTTGATAACATCACAACAGGTTTTTTTGGTTAAGCTCAACCACATTAACAGGTTTGTTTTTTACATTTTACTATATCTATATCTCCACATAATGGGATCTAACCAGTCTGAGTGTAATAAAATGTTACAAATGCTTTGTCCGCTCTGATTAAACCATTTTATTGCAAATTCCAATACGCAGGCTCCTGCCTGCTTTTTATAATCTTATCGCTATGACTAAAGGGTATAGTTGGCTATGACTGCTCAAACAAGGCCATTAATGCAATAAACACATTCACACGGGCTACAAACTAGCCTTTGACCCTATACCTTAATAAACGTCTTACTGTGCTGTGCTTTAGTGACATAGTTCACAATACAGTCATTAATTGCTTGTAACATCATATTTTTTCAACCTTTGCTTTTTATAAAAGGGAAAGTTTAAACATATGCTTCGTCAGCAATATTAAAAAAAAAGCATGTCTTTTCTGGATAATTGGGAGGGTGTTTTATTATACGGAGCATAGAAACATAGAAACATAGAAACATAGAATGTGACGGCAGATAAGAACCATTCGGCCCATCTAGTCTGCCCAATTTTCTAAATACTTTCATTAGTCCCTAGTCTTATCTTATAGTTAGGATAGCCTTATGCCTATCCCACGCATGCTTAAACTCCTTTACTGTGTTAACCTCTACCACTTCAGCTGGAAGGCTATTCCATGCATCCACTACCCTCTCAGTAAAGTAATACTTCCTGATATTATTTTTAAACCTTTGTCCCTCTAATTTAAGACTATGTCCTCTTGTTGTGGTAGTTTTTCTTCTTTTAAATATAGTCTCCTCCTTTACTGTGTTGATTCCCTTTATATATTTAAATGTTTCTATCATATCCCCCCTGTCTCGTCTTTCCTCCAAGCTATACATGTTAAGATCCTTTAACCTTTCCTGGTAAGTTTTATCCCGCAATCCATGAACCAGTTTAGTAGCCCTTCTCTGAACCCTCTCTAAGGTATCAATATCCTTCTGAAGATACGGTCTCCAGTACTGTGTACAATACTCCAAGTGAGGTCTCACCAGTGTTCTGTACAATGGCATGAGCACTTCCCTCTTTCTACTGCTAATACCTCTCCCTATACAACCAAGCATTCTGCTAGCATTTCCTGCTGCTCTATTACATTGTCTGCCTACCTTTAAGTCATCAGAAATAATCACCCCTAAATCCCTTTCCTCATATGTTGAGGTTAGAACTCTATTAAATATTCTGTACTCTGCCCTTGGGTTTTTACGTCCAAGATGCATTATCTTGCACTTATCCACATTAAATGTCAGTTGCCACAATTCTGACCATTTTTCTAGTTTACCTAAATCATTTGTCATTTGGCTTATCCCTCCTGGAACATCAACCCTGTTACATATCTTAGTATCATCAGCAAAAAGACATACCTTACCATCAAGACCTTCTGCAATATCACTAATAAAAATATTAAAGAGAATGGGTCCAAGTACAGATCCCTGAGGTACCCCACTGGTGACAAGTCCAAGCTTCGAATATATTCCATTAACTACAACCCTCTGTTGCCTGTCACTCAGCCACTGCCTTACCCATTCAACAATATTGGAATCCAAACTTAAAGATTGCAGTTTATTGATAAGCCTTCTATGTGCAACAGTGTCAAAAGCCTTACTGAAATCTAGGTAAGCAATGTCTACTGCACCACCCTGATCTATAATTTTAGTTACCCAATCAAAAATCAATAAGATTAGTTTGGCATGATCTCCCTGAAGTAAACCCATGTTGTCTCTGATCTTGAAATCCATGTGTTTTAGATGTTCATCAATCCTATCCTTTAACATGGTTTCCATCACTTTCCCACTACTGAAGTAAGGCTTACTGGCCTATAGTTGCCCGACTCCTCCCTATTACCTTTCTTGTAAATGGGCACAACATTCGCTAACTTCCAATCTTCTGGGACTACTCCTGTTAACAATGATTGGTTAAATAAATCTGTTAATGGTTTTGCTAGTACACCACTAAGCTCTTTTAATAGCTTTGGGTGTATTCCATCAGGTCCCATTGACTTATTTGTCTTTACTTTTGACAGTTGAAATAGAACCTCTTCCTCTGTAAACTCACGTGTAATAAATGACTCATTTATCCTTTTTCTCAACTGAGGTCCCTTTCCTTCATTTTCATCTGTAAATACAGAACAAAAATATTCATTGAGGCAGTCAGCCTGACCTTTATCCTCTTCTACATACCTTCCTTCTTTTGTTTTTAATCTAACTAATCCTTGTTTTACTTTTCTTTTCTCATTTATGTATCTAAAAAATGTTTTATCCCCTTTTTTACTGACTGTGCTATTTTCTCTTCTGTGTGTGATTTGGAAGCTCTTATAACTTGCTTAGCCTCTTTCTGCCTAATCTTATAGATCATTTTGTCTTCCTCACTCTGGGTTTTTTTATAATTCCTAAATGCTAACTTTTTGTTTTTAACTATTTTGGCCACATCTGCGGAGTACCACAGTGGTTTCTTGAATTTTTTGCTTTTACTGACAAGCCTAATGCAATTTTCTGTTGCCTTCAATAGTGCAACTTTTAAATAATCCCATTTTTCTTGGATTCCATTTAAATTGCTCCAGTCTGATAATGACTCCTCTACCCATATTCTAATTTTAGAAAAGTCTGTTTTTCTAAAGTCTAAAACTTTTGTTTTTGTGTGGTGTGACTCAGTCACTGTTCTTATATAAAACCACACTGACTGATGATCACTGGATCCTAAACTTTCACCTACAGTAACATCTGATACCAAATCTCCATTTGTTAACACTAAATCTAGTATGGCCTCTTTACGAGTTGGCTCCTCAACAACTTGTTTTAGAGACAATCCCAGTAGGGAGTTTAGAATATGTGTGCTCCTGGCACAAGTAGCTAATTTTGTTTTCCAATTTACATCAGGAAGATTAAAGTCACCCATGATGATAACTTCCCCCTTCATTGTCATTTTAGCTATTTCCTCAACTAGTAGATTATCTAACTCTTCAATTTGTCCTGGGGGCCTATAAATCACACCTACACGAGTTACTGTGTGATTACCAAATTCTAACGTAGCCCAAACGGACTCTATGTTTGCCTCACTAACTTTTATTAGGCTAGATTTTATGCTATCCTTCACATACAAGGCCACCCCTCCCCCTTTCTTGCCTTCCCTATCTTTCCTATATAAAGAGTACCCTGGTATTGCTATGTCCCAGTCATTTTTCTCATTGTACCATGTCTCAGTAACAGCGACTAAATCTACACTATCAGTTGCCATTATTGCCACAAGTTCATGGATCTTATTCCCTAAACTGCGAGCATTTGTAGACATGACTCTAAGCTTATCATTTTTTAACACACTTGCTACAGGCACCTTCTGTCCTTCTTTTGGGGGACAATTGGACTGATGTTTTATCACCCTTTTGCCCCCCCCTCCTAGTTTAAATACATCCTAGCAAAACCTCTGAACTGCTCACTGAGAACATTTGTTCCCTTTTGAGAAAGATGCCTTACTGCTGATCAGGCTATCAGCAGGGGCGGACTGACAGTAGCCTGGGCCCCCTGGCATATATTGGCCCTGGGCCCCTGTCATATCTACAAACTCAACTGCCCAAGATTTTATTCACTAAAAAGTTAATTGTATTGAAAGGCAAAATGTAGGGCAATATAGGATTCTTACTGTATATTTGGATACATATTACAACACTGCAATATTTACATCTTGTCTATTTTAGCCTGAATTTTGTGAATTGATCTTCAAGTTACTAAACATAACTGTTTAGCGAATTAATCCTATAGTTGTTTAGAAACAAATAGTGGTGAACTGACCAGAAAGGAAAATTGTAGGCAGCAAAAGGTGAACCTTAATCACCTTGGAGTTGGAGAATTGTTTCAAATTGGCTATTTTGGCTTACGCAATGTATTTGTCCGTTATCTACTATTCCCAGTTCAGTGAATAAACTCTGTGTGTATTTGTTTGTGTGTGTTCAGTGTGAAGGCTTGTCTGTGAATGCATGTTTGAATGTCAGGGTTATTCAGTAAAGTGAGACCTGTCAGGAATTCAAAGCAAATTTCAAATTTAAGTCCAAAATAGCAAAACTGGAAACATTCTACAAATCCGGTATTGTTTCTAGTTTGGCTACTTTGCCATTAAATTTGAAATTCTTTGAATTCGTGAATATTATCACTTCAGTGAATAACCTTGCGTGTGTGCTTACAGAGGCCAACTCCCCGAGCAAATAGGGAGGGGGGAGCATGACTGCTGCCCTAAGGGGTTGGCATAGCAACCAAATGGATACAGTTGGTTTTACAGTTGGAAGCTGGGAATTCTGAGAAAATTATCAGACTACTGGTGAACAATGCTGAGGGAGCCTGGCAGTGTCTGGGTAAGGTTCCTGAGACCTAGGCCCTCTCTTCCGTCTGGGCAGGATGTCACATCAGAGCATGCAGCCACATGCCAGGGGAGACAGAGTAATGTTCAAACCTCCCCCAGGGGCGAGTACGATATGTTCGTATGCACCGCTGCACGGACATCACAGGCCCCTACGACATTCGGTGATGCCAGATCAAATTCGGGAGAAGTTTGCGAATTGCATTCAGAGGCAATTTGGCGATTGGATTGGGATGTAATTCGGGGATTAAATTAGGTTATTCAGTTGCTGGATACTGAGGCAATTCACAGGAGGGATTCGGAGTACTCGGATGCCGTTTGCAAACGAGAATCTGAGTTTATTTGACGCCAGAATCCGGCCAAAATTTGCCGCAGGACTTCTGCTTCCAGTGCAGTTCGGTGAGCCAAAGAGAGCGAAGTGCAGTTTTCTGCACATTTGGCTGATTCTCAGAGGATTGGGATACTGGTTCCCCTGCTCCAGGCTCGTGGGTATGCTTGCACTCACGCTTGGGCTGCACAGACAGAGCCAGTGGTGTGTCTCAAAGGGAAGTGCAGTTGCTCAGGGCAGTGTTAGAGCACATCACCCCGTCGCAGGATTCAGGGTCTACACTGGATCCGCAGGTGAGTCCCCTGCCTTCCTGTCCTGAGGTGTGCCTTACGGGAGTTATGAATTCAGGACCAGAGTTAAGTAGTATCCCCTCTCTGGGTCCAGTATGTAATGATGCTATGCTGGGTTTACATGTGCCCTCGGATTAAATAAATAAATAAATATATTTTAAAATGATTAAGGTTAGTACTCCTCAAAGCTCTTCCAGACAATATTGCTAAATCTACAAGGAAATTGATTTTCTTACTTTTATCTACAGTAACTTTAATAGCTAAAAATTGGAAATCCTTGGAACTGCCTTCCTGACAAGAATTTAGGACTTTGATGACTACAATGGTGGATTATGAACTTATTATGTGGAATCAGACAAAAATAGGCAGATTAAGCCCGATAGTAGCTGATAGATGGCAGAGTTACTTAGTAACAATCACTTCATAGCTCTTTTTTTTTCAATATATTTTTTATTGAATTTTTGTCATCAATGATACAATTTGAACCAGTGATACACTTGAAAGTAGTACATAAAGACAGTACAAAAAACAGGTACAACATTAACGTTGGGGTGCGATTGGAAGCATGTGCAGTTAGGTAACATGGATCGGTATACATAGTCGGTTATACAGTCGTTGCTCATATAGCCGGCCCAACATCTGAACGGCCTGTGCTTACTAGGTGGTGGGCACTTGTATGCGTCCCTATGCTCTATCGTAGTTCACACCTATAGTTACTGATAATGATTATAAGGGGCTAATGGATGTCCCTGCCGTTATGGCTCTATCTTGTATATGCTGGTTGTACAGTTCTACCCATGGTGACCATGTTGTGCTAAACCTCTGTGCCATTTTGGTATCAGGTACGGCCATTTTTTCATAGATGTAGAATTGGTGTATTTTGTCCCATAGTTGGGTTTTGTTTGGGCAAGTTGTGGATTTCCAGTGGAGGGCCAGTAGGCTACGGGCCGCTAAAGTAATAATGGCACACAGCTGTTTGTGCGAGTTTCAGAGTGTCGGAGGGAACCTCATGAGTAAGTATGTTTCCGGTGTCTTTTGGGTATCTGGGATTTGGAGTGCATGGACAGTATTGTGTACCTCTGTCCATAAAGGCTGGATGTTGGGGAACTTCCACCAGACATGTATAAGTGTACCCTCCTCTACGGAACATCTCCAACACAGTGGGGTTGAGTTTGGGTATATTTTGTGAAGTTTGTGTGGGGTTAGGTACCATCTGTACATTAGCTTTCTATGTGCTTCTATGTGTGTATAGCATTTTGCCCATTTAGATAGGTCGTTTAGTACATGTATCCATTCTTCGTCTGTGAGTTGAATGGCACAGTCTAATTCCCACAAAGTTTTCCAATGTGGTGATGTGTTAGGTGTAGTGTCTTCCCAGGCTTTATAGCACAGGGAAATGGTTTTTGGTTTTGTGGGGTGTTTCCAGCATCTTTCTTTTCAAATAATTTTTATTAAAGTTTTTAAAATTTTTGTATAACAAATGATAGTAATAATACAAACATTGTATTAGGGGTAGGAAAGGAAGGGTAACTTGGAAATGGGAAGGGGTATCCATCCATCATTAAAATAAACATAATAAAGTATATGGCAAAAAAAGTTGTACATCAATGCACTTTAACAATAAATATATCAAAGACCATTTTGATTTTTTTCTTCCCATTTGTCCCAATTATATTTTAGTATTGGGAAACCATGCATATTGGCTCTGTGTGATAATTCATGTGCCTTGTTTTCTAGAATCAAATTAAAAACTTCTCTGAGAGATGGCACATTTTGGGACTTCCAATGTCTAGGTAAAGTTTCCAGCATCTTTCTATTATTGCCTTTATTGGTGGGGACGTTTGGGTAGGGTTTGATTGTTGGTTACTTACATGTGTGGTGATGATTCCCTTAAGTTGTAAGTATGTAAAGATAGCATCATTGGGAAGCTCACATTTGTGTTGTATGTCGGGGAATGTCATCATTTTTTGAGATTGGAGCAATTGGTGTATGTGTGTTATTCCTGCCAGCGACCACTTTTGTAAGCGTATGTCTGGCGAAATAGCCCTTAAGGCTGTCAATGGTGCCTCTGCTTGGAATTTATTCTTATCCCCCACCTTTTCTAAAAATGTCGTCCAGAGTTGGATAGTATATTTTGTGGTGGGTAGGAGGTCAGATTTTAACAACCTTAATTTTCTTGGTGTCCACAAGTGTGCTAGTGCCGAGTTGATGCTGAACTGGGCTCTTTCCATGTCCACCCATTGTATGATCCCTTCAGTGGTGTGTAGCAGTATCCCTGTTGCTAAGGCTGACGCTTTATAATACAGATCTATGTTGGGTAGCCCCACTCCACCATGTTTTGAGTGTTTGTATAGTATCGTACTTGCAATGCGTGGTATTTGTGTTCCCATATGAACGCATTACATATAGATTGTAGTGTTTTTATGAGTGTTTTTGGTGCTTGTAGGGGGAGCATTCTGAATATATATAGTATTTTTGGTAGGATCACCATCTTATACGCATTTATTCTGCCTAACCAGGTGATGTGTGTTTGTGACCATTTGTGTATTTCATTCTTGCATTGTTGTGGGAGTGAGAGATAGTTTACTTCTGCTATAGAAGGTGCAATTTTTACGCCAAGGTGTGTAAGTGAGGATGTCCTCCAATCGAAGAGGTATTTCTCTTTCAGTGTGGCTGTGGTGGGGGAGGGGAGTTTGATGGGTAGTGCTTGTGTTTTGTCTTGGTTTAGGCGGTAGTGTGAAATATCCCCGAATCTCGCTAAGGTCTCCATCGGGGGGGCACTGATGATTGAGGGTTTTCTAGAGTAATTAAGATATCTTCAAATAGTGCTAGTTTATATTCGTTACCTAGGATTTTGACGCCTTGTATGCGTTTATCATTTCTTATTTTTTGTGCTAGCGGTTCGAGGGACAATATGTAGAGTAGGGGGGATAAGGGGCACCCCTGTCGTGTTCCATTGGATATGTAGAAGGGGGCTGAGAGGAAGCCACCATGGGCCACCTTGGCCGCTGGTGTCACATATAGTGCCATAATCCCCTTGATAAATTCGTCAGGGAAGCCGAATTTTTGTAATACTTTCTGCATATAAGCCCAATTGAGTCGGTCAAAGGCCTTCTCCGCAAGTGCTAGAAGGAGGCCTCCGACCGACCCCCTCTCCATGGTAGCCAGTATGTTAAGAATTTTTTGCGTGTTATCGGAGCCCTGCCGTCCTTTGACGAACCCCGATTGATCGTTGTGTATTAGTTCACTTATTATGGACGTGAATGTGTTACTTAATATTTTCACATATAGTTTGGCGTCACCATTTAGAAGAGAGATTAGTCTGAAGTTTTTGCAGGTGGTGGGTGGTTTGCCTGGTTTGGGTAATGTCGAAATGTGAGCTAACAGTAGTTCCGCTGGTAGGGCTCCCTTGTCGAGACTGTGTTGGTATAGATTTAGGAGGTGGGGGAGTAGTAGTTTGGAGAATTCTTTATAATATCTATTTGGTAGGCCATCCGGTCCTGGGGATTTGTTTGATGGTAAGTCAGCTATGGCTTTAGATATTTCTTCATGGGATATCGGTTGTTTGAGTTGTTGTACTATATTTGATGTTAGGGATGGGAGGTGGATGGTTGCTAAAAAATTGTCAATATCTGTAAGCGTGGGGACTTTCACTCCTTCATCCTCACTCAGGTTATACAGTTTGTGATAGTATTTTGAGAATTAATTTACAATTTTGTTCGGGTCGCTAATTTTCTGGCCATTATTTGTGTTTAGGAAGGCAATCCTGGAGGCAGCTGATCTTTGTTTGTTTTTTGTGGTAGCACGTGTGGTAGTCTGCTGGGAACCAAGCAGAGTTAAACCTGGGTTGGGATCCCCACTGAAAGTGAGTTTCCTGAAAAAATGCCACATGTGCTCCTTGTTTCTTGGCCTCCTGGAGAGCCAATCTACATTTATTAGTAGAATTTAAGCCTTTGGTGTTTAGCGAGAGAAATTTTAGCGGCATGATACTGTTTTCCCTACTCGTTATGGATTGTTCAACTGACTATATCTGTTGGTGGGGTGGGACGAGCACAGGTTTATTGGGATGTTACCTAAACCGTGGGAAGGTGACCTGGCGGTCAATCGAGGAGGATTGGGAGGGGAATAAACTATGTACAATTGCCCGTTAGCCTCTCGGGCATAGTGCAAGGTTTTGCAGATGGGTACGTGGAGGCCTACCTAGTAAGCCTTGCGTGGGGGTTAGTGGTTTTTATGTAAGCAAGGTGTAATAACCAGTGTCCACCTCGTGAATTAGGTGGAAAGTAGAAAAGAAGAAAGTAAAGAAAAAAGAAAGAGAAAAAAAGCAAGTAAAAAGTTAAAACAGCAGTTATACAATTAGCAGTGGCCTAACGCCGACCGTGGGCTTATTATTCTCATTATAATGTTTTTTTGTTTGTTTTTTTTTTCTTGTTTGGGCCATTGTTGCGTCAGAGATTTACAATAGATCGGCACATTCTTATACACATTTAACCTGTTAAACCTGAAACCAGATTAGTTAGTAAAGTTACGTGTCCTTGTGCGCAGTTGGAGAGGGCTTATGGATGAGGATTTCTTCGGCTTTGAGGGGTTGCCGTAATCCATGGGATTTGTTGCCAGTCTCTCGCCACTTTACGGGGTGGTGGCATGTCCGAACTTTGTGGGTCAGTTGTTGGGACAGGGACATTCCATTCTCCTAGAATTTTCCTTCCTTCTTCCGGTGTTAGGATTGCTCGATCAATTCCATTTCTTTTGATGATTAGTTTGGTAGGGAATCCCCACTTATACAATATGTTGGCATTTCGGAGAGCCATTGTTATAGGTGCAAATGATCTTCTTTTAAACATGGTGGCCGCCGATAGGTCTTTGAATAATTTAATGTCTGTATATCCTTCAGGAAGAGGTGCATTAAGCCTAGAGGCCTGCATGATTTGGTCTTTGATCGTGAAGTAGTGAATTCTAGTGATAACGTCTCGGGGGGTTGTTGCAACCAGATATCGGCAATCTGTGCGTTCTGTCAAGTCAGAGGTCGGCTTCTGTTAATGTTGGGATCATAGATTTAAACAGCTTCTGTACAAATTGTGGGAGGTCCTGTGGACCCACATTTTCAGGTATTCCACGGATCCTGATGTTGTTTCTTCTATCTCGTTCCTCATTATCTGTAATTTTCCCCTCTAAGTATCTGACCTTGTTTTCCAGCGCTACATGCGCCTCTGCTAGGTCATTGTGCGCTTCTAGTAGTCCCTCTGTTTTTTCAGAGCACAGGGCTGTTTTAAGCTTGTCCAGCATTGTGCTTATTGATGCATCTGTGGCAGGAGTCATGTCTGTGCTGTGAAAGCTGCTTTGGCTGTCTCCTACCTCAGGTTCCAGTATGGGGGATCCGGTGTCTCTGGCGCCATCTTGGATTTGCATGGGGGTTGATTGCTGCAAATTCAGGTGTGATTCAATCGTTTTATTATCGTTTTTTTTTTTGTTTCATTTATTTGGATGCTTTTATTGCCATCGTGTTCAGGGTATAGTTAGTGCCTGGTAGGGCTATTTTCGGTGGCCGGCTTGCTGGGATACCACGCTGTGAAACCCACGGTATAGTGGAGCTCACCGCTTATGCGTCCACTTCCATGTGGTCCGAAGCCACGCCCCCACTTCATAGCTCTTTTAAACTGTAGACATTGATAAAGAGTAGGGAGGGGCGGAATAGGAGGGAGGGGAAAAGAGAGGAGGGGAAAGAGGAAGAAGGGAACAACAAAATGAAACAGGGAATTGATAGTTTAAATTAACCCCCTCCCTTCCCTCTCGCTCCCCCTTCCCTCTCACCCACCTTCCCCCAACCCCCCCCTTTTTTTTTTTTGAGTTCACACAGACCTATAAATGTATTACCATTACGCCCTATACCTTATTTTTCGCTCCATAAGACGCACTTTTTTTTCCCTCAAAAGTGAGGGGAAATGTCTGTGCGTCTTATGGAGCGAATGTGAAGCTTTACTTACCTGTCTTGGAGCGTGGGCTGGCTTCACAGCGCGCTCCGCGGTCCATGAACTTCTATTTTAGGTTCCGGTTTCCGGCGGGACTGAAAGGAAGTGCACACTCAGTGTGCACACTTCATTTCAGTCCCGCCGGAAACCGGAACCTGAAATAGAAGTTCCTGGACCGCGGAGTGCGCTGTGAAGCCGGCCCATGCTCCAAGACAGGTAAGTAATTATGGGACAATGGGAGGGGAGACACTATGGGACGAGGGGGAGACACTATTGGACAAGGGGAGGGGGAGACACTATGGGACAAGGAGAGGGGGAGACACTATGGGACAAGGGGAGGGGGACACTATGGGACAAGGGGAGGGGGACACTATGGGAGAAGGGGAGGGGGAGACACTATGGGACAATGGCAGGGGGGGACACTATGGGAGGGAAAGTGCACTATGGGACAATGGGAGGGGAGGACACTATGGGATCAGAACACTAATGGACAAGGGGAGGAGGGGTTAAAGAACACTATGGGACAGGGTAGGAGGGGTTAAAGAACACTATGGGACAGGGGAGGAGGGGTTAACAATCACTATGGGACAGAGGAAAGGGGGGTTAAAGATCATTATGGGACAGGGGAGAAAAAAAATATTCTGAACAAACTGTCCCATAGTAAGAAACACTATGGAACAGTTTGTTCAGAATATTTTTTTTTTCTGGGTTTCCTCCTCTAAAAACTAGGTGCGTCTTATGGTGAGGTGCGTCTTATGGAGCGAAAAAGCGTAAGTGTATTTGCAGTAGAGAGTAGTAGAGAGAGGGTATGATCTGCTTTCATATTAATGTCCTCTATAAGTTAAAAATCCCTAGAAATAAAAATAGATAAGAAATATCTGTTTATATTAAGATTACTCCTTTTTCTTTTATCTTGTAGTTTAAAATTCAAGGCATATTAACAGGCAGATTTAATTACCTCTAATTAATGTTTTTGTATAAGTGATACAGAGCTCACCTACAAGTTACAATGTTTCCAACTCATGCGATATTTATAATTAATGTAATTATGTTTTGCACTGTTTAATTAATGTGGACTGTAACCCAGTTTCCTTTTTCTGTACCCTTTGTTTTATAACGGAAAATCAATAAAAAAAATCAATTTATAAAAAAAAAAAATTATTAAGGGTGAGTCAGTGGACAGACTACGGCAAGGGAAAGTTGGGGAGGGGGACAAAGGTAAGCAATTGCTTAGAATGTTTGGAAATTGGTTCCAAGTCTTTGTGACACTTGCAAGTATTTTGGCTAGTAGGTTTCCTGAGAGGGCTCTGTCGCTGTTCACCTATTTGGACCTCATTTGGGATGCCTGCAAGGTATATGGAGGTCAGTGCTGGATCAGTATGACTAGCATTGCAAAAAAAAACAAACCAAAAAAATGGCGATACAAGCTCAATTAGATTTTAGTGTACTTGACAGTAACCTTTGGTTGCTACTTATAACTCTGTGTAGCCCAACCACGGGCTCTAGTACGATTATTTATTCCTGCGGATGAAGATACAGTTGATTAATGCTGGAGGACAAGCTTCAGGTTGTCATCTCTGGTGGATCAGGTTCGAGGGGCTCCCTATTTGGCCATTTGAATTCTGCAATCACTGCTGGGCCATCTGAATTTTGTCTGTAAGTGAAGCCCATGGGACATGCTTTCAGTCACTGACTTTCCTTGGCTATGGTTGGTATTCATCTCCCCCTTAACTTTACATGCCTTTAGGGAGTTTGAAGTTGTGTTCCTCGTGGGTTGCAATGGTCAGACATTTTGGCGCAGTTACACAGTGTCTAACTTGGCTTTTGACCTGTTCATGAAGGCTTCAGCTCGGTTGCTTTTGGTGCCCTTTTCCGAGGGCTTTGATGCGCGGGCCACAGGGGTGGTCAGATTCCTTTTTGGTGCTATTCCCAATTGTAGTCTCATTTAAGACTCTTGGTCTTGGCTTTGGCAAAGCAGCAGGTTCTTTTCCATACAGATAATCTTAGTGCGATTCATATGGTGAACCAGTTATCGTTAGGTTCACTTCCGGTATTGGCCTTATTGGGACAATCGGTTCTGCATTGCTTGGAATTTAATATTTGGTTTGGTGCATGTGCCAGGTGTGTCTAATGGATTGCTGGCTCTCTTTCTTGCTTCCAGTAGGATCAATTTCGGGAGGTGACACCAGAGGCAAAGGCTTGTGGAGTGTCTCAAATGCTCTGGAACCTTAGTTTTGGAACTTGATTGACTTGATTGAGAGGTCCCTGGCTTCTACATCTTTGACAGCATGCCCGATAGTGTGGGATCGATAGATTTGTGTGGTAGGAGAATTTGGTTGGTCTTCTTCAGAAAGTAGGTTGTCATCCACTTTAGCCTTTCTTTCTGATCTGCGGCATCGTGGGACATGCATGTCAGTGGATCAGGGTATGTCAGCTCTTTCCATTTTGGAATGGGAAGATGTGACTAAAGCATTTTTGTTTCAGCGGGTATTGCACTGTTGGCGATCGTTAGGCATCTTGTATTTATGTACTTGCTGGTAGACGTAGGTGGGAACCTGCCTGCTATTTACATTTCCACATTTGAGGCAATCCTGTTCCGGTTTGCCTTTTCAGTGTTTTTTTTTTATATTCTTTATTTTTAAAGTGCAGCGAAAACATACACAGAGTAACACTGATATATGCTTAAGATTCATTATGACTGAATACAGGCTTAATGTTAAAACACAAAATGTCAAGAGAACCTGCCAATTTCTTTAAAAACAAGAATTAGCTGCATGCTTATCCTTCCACGTCGAGATGGACAAGCGTTCAGTATCACTTAGGTTGGGACAAAGACATGGCATGTTAAGGAATTGCACTATTACAAACTAAAATAAGCTAATATAATAGGCTAGTAGAACTGTAGTTAATTTCAAGCTATAAATACCACTGGGAGACCAGGCTCAGTTGCTGTCCACTGCGCTCCCAGCCCGAGTAGGCCGCAGGTCTACCACCCATTCTCTGGAGCTTCATAGAACCTGTCCCAGGGCATATCAGCAGTCCTGGTGGTCACTTTCTGTACAATATTTACTTATTTTAGGTCTGGCCAAGATTTCCTCTGTTTAGTCATTGATAAAAGGCCAGAACCTTCAGGAGCATGGCGGTTCGACCCCGCCCCACCATTTTCAGTGTGTTTTAATGCAGCTCTATTTGTCGGCAGATTGGTGGCTCCAAGTTCTATACCTCAGTCACCCTTTTTTAGGAAAATTGTTCTTTAGCGTAAAAATTAAGTGAAATTTCTGATTTGGCGATCTAATACTGATCAAACTGATCTAATACTGATTTGAGTGACCATTATTTGGATATTCGTCCCAGTGCTGTGGATTTCTTTTGTTGCATGCATATTGGTCAGTTTTTATTTGTTCACTAGTGTTTTTATGTTGGTGTTGTTGAGTGGATGATAGTGGTTACTCAACTCATTCATTCCACATCGGTCTGACTATGCAGGAAAGCAGGTTAGGTCTGTCAGACTCTTCCATTCGGCCACTGTGTTGGTGGGAATCGAGCACGTTTCTATTGTATGTTCGGTCGCACCTTTTATAGGTGCCTGGGTATGGTTAATGTTTGGTTTATTTCTAGTTATTCTCTGTATGTTTGGATCATTGGGCATCCTTTTATTGGGCAGCTGGTCAGGCAGACCAGAATCTTGTGATTCCTCATCACCAGGTCAAGGTTAGGTGGTGAGGGATCAGGGTGTTACACAGAAGCAATTTTATCTGGAGTAATCACTTCAGCGGTATGTGATGGAACCTGTTATACTGCTGATTCAGATGATCCACGCTGGTGGTAATTACTTGGGTCAAGAGTGCACAACGCCAAAGGGGTATAGCAAGGTAGATGTTGCTTCAACATGTAGATGTCGCTTCAATATGACAATATCATGATTCTTACAACGTTTAGGTGGATTGGTGATTCGTCATGTTGAACTAGAAGGAGATAACCAGAATGTTATGCGTACTGATTTGGTACATCTTACTCATAGCGGTTTGGATAAATTTAATATGGGGTTACAATCAATAATTGAACAGGCACTGGCTTTGGGGGCCGCATCCCCCCCTTCCCGTAGTAGGGGTGGGGGTCTGCGGTGGCAGGTTTCCTGCGCCAGCAAGTTTAGTAATTGAATAATGCCTGGACGAACTTGGGGAGTAGCAGCCTGAAATTGGTTGATGACGAAGGACAGGCTGAAGAAGCTCTGGAAGAAGTTTAAAGTGTACCTGTCTGCTGGGTAAAACCAGCCGCTGACAGTATGTGGTTGTGCTGGTTTAAATAAAGCTGTGGCTATTGCCCTTACCCACTTAACATGGTGTTGCGTTACTTATTGGAAATGGAAGGTTAACGGGATTTGGTGATCAAAGGAGTCAGCAGTCATGTCGGTACTTATTCATGTACCTAATGCCAGTA